GGGGGTACTAACCGATAGTAATCACAACGCCATCGCTGCTCTGGAATCTGAGCGTTGTTGCAGACATCTTGAAAATGGGTGGGAGGGTATTGGCGGGCCTAGAATGAATAGGTAGATGTTAGGGATATGTTACTCGACAAGCGCAAGAATATAAACCTGCCCTGAGGGGTACTCAAGTGGGGGTTCGTTGCTGCTTACAGTCAAGAATTGTTCTTGAGATGAGTGTGAGTCTCAGATGGAAGCTGGAGGGATTTGAAGGTATAAATGGACGAGAGGGGAGTGGCTTTGTGGTGAGTGAAGGCAGGAAATGTTGAAATTTAGTGCGTCGAAGTGAGTTGTGTAGGAGGAGAAGCCCGAACCCGCTGGAGATCAAAGGGACCGGACGTTGTGAAAGAGCAGATGGCTGAGGTTGATGACTGGTCCTAGTTCGAGGGGGCGGGAAATCTCCGTCATCATTCGCTGCTGTGACGCCCCACTCGCGCGGTTGCAGCCTGTAGCTGCCTAGTCGATGCCTTGATTATGTTATCATCTTTATGCCTTTATGCCTTTGTGCCTTTGTGCCTTAGTACCTGAGCATCTTAGTGCCTTGATGCCTGGTCATCTGGGTGCCTGGTTGAGGCTGTGCTATCTGAAATACAACAAATTGAATAGACTTACACAGAAGAACACCTGCAAAATCAACAAGTGAGTTCCCCAATGCATTGTACCTTGTTCTTTTATCGAGGGTGTGTCGTAGCATACACCACTCGTACACCCAGACCTCGTCTTCAATGGCTCGTTCTTCATCTCAATCCCAGTGGCATCTGTTCCATTCAACGACTCTGGTGGTAGTGAGAATCCTTCCACAGAGTACAGTACAATAAATACAGTACTGTACATGCTCAGCCGATTAGGAGAATTAAGACAAGCATCTCTCAAAAGGACCAGATCCAATTGCATACTGAGGGTGTCTCAGAACAATCTTATCTATGTCGCAACAGGCCTAAGTCAATGCGCCCACTACAGGGGACAGTCAACCAGGATATTCCATACATCTCGAGATGACGGCTGCTGTCTCCCTCTCCGAAGCGAGAGTTCAGCTAGCTACCAAGCTCTCTCGTTTGCCCCACCCCCAGCATTGTTGCTCCAGCGCAGGGGGGGCTCCTTTCACCCCCAAAACGAAGAGAGGGGAAAAAAAAAAAAAAAAAAAAAGGGACGTCGATAGCGCTGAGGTGCATTTAGTCCTCGTCGCTCAATGATATCACCCAACAACGCGTCGCCGGTTATCCGCCCGCCAAACTGACCGGAATCTTATTATCCTCCTCCCTCTGTCTCCCTTCCTTCCTTCGTTTGGCGCTTATGCCTGAGACCGTCGTTCCTTGATCTTCCTTAATCTGTTCTTCAGTCCATTCTTCAGGTACCTGAATCCCCGTAGGCATGTACCATACTCTCCGCCGGACTTGACCTTCGTCAACTTCTACATCGCCCGCACATCTTACAGAGTCATGTGGTGGCGGCGAACATATTTGTTGCTGTTGGTAATCCGGGTATATTTTGCGCTGTCACCAAGCTATCTACACCCCGATGAAAACTTCCAAGGTCCTGAGGTCTTTGCAGGTAAGTTTCCAGCATATTAGCAGTCTGATCCGCGACTCTTTCCGGCTCCCCACCGCTCGCCAATGCCGTACATCTGATATGACTTTCATCTATTCCTTCGGCCGCATACACTTACTAGTCACTTCATAGGTCGGATTCTCTCCTATCCATCTCAACTCCCTTGGGAATTCACTGCCGATAAGCCGATCCGTAGCGTCTTCCCACTATGGCCGATCTACGAGGTGCCAATGAACTTTTTGAAATGGTTCTATACGGAAACTGGCGCCCAAAATCCTCCTCCACAGCTAGTCTACTTTGTGCTGCGCGGGGTCATGTTTCTACTTAGCTTTGTCTTAGAAGACTGGGCGGTATATGAGCTGGTTCCCTTGCCGCGCCATCGCCGCGCGACGGTGGTGCTGGTGGCATCTTCGTATGTCACCTGGACATATCAGACGCACACCTTCTCAAACTCACTCGAGACCCTCTTGGTGGCCTGGAGCTTAGTTTTGATTCGTCGCATTGCTGAAAATAAGGTAGGCGCATTCATTTGAGCTGAAATGATAGCAAAACCCGTGGCTAAGCTTGTTGACAGCGACATTCTTCACTTTTTTCTTGCGCCGTGTTGTCGTTGATCGCAGTCATAGGTGTGTTCAACAGAATCACCTTTCCTGCCTTTGTGCTCGTTCCAGGGCTCCAACTGCTCCCTCACCTTTGGCATAGGTAAGCTCTTAAACCGCACACTTGAACTTGTATGTTCACAATGTTGACCTTCAATGATAGGCCTTCATCTTTCCTTTCGATCGTTGGATTTGGCCTGGGCTTTTTCTGCCTTGCCGTCTTGGTTGATACGAAGTTCTACAGCTCACCTGCGACTTTCTGGGACGCCCTTCACAGTCCTGTAATTACTCCGATCAACAATCTGCTTTATAACTCCGACAAGTCTAATCTGGCGCTTCATGGACTCCACCCTCGATACCACCACTTCCTGGTGAATTTACCACAACTACTGGGCCCGGCATATATAGCCATGATCTTGTCATTATTCAACTTCTCAGCCGTTCCATCTTGGCTTAGGGATATGCGCGCAGTCTCGGCCATCTCGGCAACTGTCATGCTTTCAATATTCCCTCACCAAGAACCCAGATTCCTGCTTCCTTGTGTCCCCCTTCTCCTCAGTTGTTTGCGCATACGCAACACCCGGACTTCTCGGTGGTTCCTAGTCGCCTGGGCCATCTTCAATGCTATCCTAGGGTTCCTCATGGGATTATACCATCAAGGAGGAGTTGTGCCTGCACAGCTGGCGATGCCGTCTATCATTTCAGAAAGCGTACGTGGGACGGATCTTGGCTCGCTCGATCCTCGGCTCGAAACAGAGGCCACCGTGCTCTGGTGGAAAACGTATTCTCCCCCACTTTGGCTTCTGGGAAATGGCACCACCCTTCCAGTAGATATCCGAACTCGAGACTTGATGGGAATGCCAGGATCAGAAGTGGTTGAAGAACTCGACAAATTGGTACCCTCATGTCACGAGAAGGAGCAAGCTGAAAGCCAAGGCGTGTCTTCACCCTTGGTGTTCGTGGTTGCCCCCAAGTCTGCTACATTCTTGGACCAATATGTTGCTCCTTTGGCCTCATCGTCCGACCCGTCGGATCTAGAGCTGCATGAGCTGTGGCACTGGAGCAATCACCTCAATTTAGATGATCTCGACTTTGGTGACGACGGCATCCTGCCGACACTCAAACGAGTGACTGGGAGAAGAGGACTGGCTGTGTGGGGAGCACGGAGAGCTGGATGTGCTTGACTTAAGTCCTGGCCACATCAGCTCACACCGATCACCTGGTGCTGGAAGCGATGGTTTTCACGGGGTTGACATCGGCTTACCTCATCGAATCTAAGTTCACTAACTTAACCATATTTGCCCTTTGATATTCTCATTACCTTGCTTTTCTTTATATCTTCACATGCCAACCTCATAGTGAGCTGTCTCTTTAATCTTCACTATCTTCTTGTCTATTCATCTCATTCGCCTCTATTTCACTACCTTCACCACATACACTGCCTGGGTTATGGAACATGTGAGGTAAACATCTTGCGATACAATATACCCTTCTTTTCCCCTTCCACAAATCATACATATATATATCTGCTTTCATTTCAGTCCTCTATCCGCCGGCGGCTCCTACAAAATTCCATCATTCACAATCTAGTCCCTTGCAGTCAAGCTAGCAAAATACGTTGTTGACTCGAGCTTAAGTCGCAATGCTTGAGAGCTCAGAAAGTGTCTCGTCCATTTTCTGTATACTCGCTGTGTGAATCATCTTACCCACCGTGCCCTCAGCTCGTGGAGTCACACGGGCAGTACCGAAAGGGAGTTGGTGCCCCCCCCATCGAGTCACGCTCGCACCACCCTCCTTTCCAGAGTCTAAACTTCGAAATCGATCCAGACCTGCCCATCTCGAAAAGCTATTGACGATCCTGACGTAGATAACCATATCCAACCCTAATCATATATCGTAGAAACAAGTTTTCATGATTCCAGGACAAAAGTCCCATGCTTCTGAATTTTCCGCTTGGGTACTGAGTACACGACCCGGACTTGCACGGATTATCTAAGTGGACCAATGAAGAGTGGTAGAGAAGACGTATAAGCTTGAGTACGAGCTCCTAAATAAAACTTATTAGGCAACGGAAGAATATAAAGACATGCCCAGCACAGGCAGAGAAGAAAGAAGAGAAGCAAAGAGGAATAAGATGTTACGAGGCATCCGCCGGCTAGGAGGCTTGCACGGGACGGTACGAGCTCCCAGGCAGACTTGGGCTTGACCGCGATCTATTCTACATAGTCGCCCTTGTGAGTAATTATTGCGAGAGTATAATAAGAGGGACACATCACGACGTTCATTATCAGAGAAGATGAGAGATCAATAGGGAAGAGCAGCATCCATTGGTAGGATGTTCAGCTAGATCGAAACATAAGAATAGGTGTGGAATCATAGATCATCAGGGTCGTCCGGGTTCTCGAACAAATAATTAGCAGCGAGCTCTTCGTTCTTGTCGCAAGCGAAGTAGGCCTGGATGACGAGATCCCGAGAAAATCCAAGTCGGCAGAGCTGGTAGTGAGGTTAGCAGCATTCCTAGACTTTCAATTTGTTCCTTATCAAAGAACATGAGAGGATACATACGCGTTCAATGGCGTCCCGTTCTTCTTCTGTGACGTGGATCTGATGCGTGCCGGGGGGGAGAGCCGCGTCGTCCTCCTCGCTCAACAATTGGAGAAACTGCTCCTCGTTCTGACCAATGAGCTGCGCAATTTGAGGATTGCCAGTAGCAACTTGTTGCAGGATAGGCTCGAGCATCTGCGGTTGTTGCTGGACTAGCTGACGGAGTTGCTGGAAGTGAGGGTTATTCCGGAGGAAATCGAGGCTGGGAAGGCCTTCGCCAGACCCAGCTCCCGGGCGGGCACCTCGAGTGCCGCCTTCCTGACCTCCAGCCTGAGCGGCAGCTTCGAACAGGTTAACATGTTCGTCATCAACCGGGGCCGGGGCACTTTCTTCTGCAGGAGACGCGGACGTTTGGGGTGCGCTTGCGGCGGCGGCTTGCTGCTGTTGCTCCTCCTGGATGTTATCCGGGATGCCCTGAAGACCTGTCAGCGGATTGTGGAGAAAGCCAGATGGCTCCGGATCCACCTCAAGACTCACGTTCAGAAGGTACTCAATGGCGCGGTCAGGGTTGAAGAAGGCAGCCCTCATTGCACGGTTGATATCGCTTCTTGGGAATCCCATGCTTTCCATCTGAGCGACCACTGCCTCGCTTTGGGCACCACGCAGCAGAGCCGAGGGGTCATTGAAGGCGGGACCGGCGGGCTGAGAAGTTCCCGAGGCGGCCGGAGAAGGAGTTGCGGGAGCTGCCGGTGAAGCAGTGGATGCCGATGGGGCAGGGGCAGCAGGGGCAGCGGGGGCAGCGGGGGCAGCGGGCGTCGAAGCAGCTACTCTTGCAGGGGTGGAGGGGGCTTGTGTAGAAGCGCCGGAGGCAGAAGGCTTGGGCTAAGTGAAGCGCCAAGATTAGCTTGATAGGAGGATAGAGATTGCCATATACAATAAGCCATACCTTGGACACCATGCACACTATAAAACCTTTCTCCTCGATGCTGTACGACTCGATGGTCTTATCATCTTGAAGGATCTTTCCTATTGTGGCAAAATCTGTCAGCTACACTTGTCCACCGTGTCGTCAAAGGATCGGAGCACGAAGCCGTCGTTCCCAGTAACAATTTCTGCCAAGCATCGTGGGACACTAATGACTGACCTGAATAAATGAGCTTCAACTGGGCAACTTCCCATCCTTTCTCCTGAGAGATTTTCCCCTTCACTTCTCCGACCTAGAAGAAACAGCGGTTTAGCCCCGCACCGACCTTAACCAGCTTCCATGATTTCAAGCAGGGAACTACCTACCGTCTCCGAGGGTTCTGCATCGATTACAAACTTTTGTTGTTTGAGGTCCTGAAGAGGAGATACAGGTCAGATTGAAAGGAGGACGAGCATGGTGGAGCAAAGGACAAGTAGATACATACCTTGAACGTGAGCTTCATCTTGCGCCACCGAATGTTGAGAGATGGCTCGACAACGTGGGCGGAGGGGTTATGAGAGAAGACACTTGAAGGACGGGAGGGGGTGTAGTGGGGAGGGGCGACAGAGGGTTGCAGGACTGTAGAGCCTGATGATAAATTGATCAAGAATGGTACTGAGTGTTAAAGATCTTTAGTAGGGAAGTAGATGGGAAGCAGAGGATGAAAGACCTGCGAAAGAAGCAAGGAAGAAGAAGTAGATGAGGATGAGGATGAGAATGATTGATGACGAAGACGGATCATGAATGGCACCGAAAGAGGGAGAAGGAAGCCCAGAAGGTGGAGGGAGCTGGGAATCGGAGGCGGTCAGCACCCGCCGGTACCACCGCCACACTTTTTCCCCCTCATTCGCCAACTTGGAACCTCAGCCACACTTCCAAGTTCCAACGAGTGTGTACCAGCAAGAGCCCTGAGTACGGTAACGTGACGAGTTTATTCTCGATCTTACTGGTGTACTGTATGTAATTCGAGTATGCGAAGTCCATCCATACGGTAGAGGCCTCTACTAGTACGGTGTATATATTTCTCGATTCTCGCTCACCAAACAGCTCTTTACCCGACTAGAACTACATATGTATATTCTCATTCTCCTCGATAAGCTATTTCTACCTCTACACGAGGACGAAGAAAAAAAAGAGAAAAAAAAAATATCATATCAAAAATAAATACATAAACAACACAATAGATAAATTGGGCTTGCCTACCCCAAGCGAGACTTTCGCCCATAATCTCATAACTGCCTTGAGACAAGGGACCTTCATTCAAGCCCAATGAATCAATCTTCTTTCTTCCAAATGTATCAGACCAATCCTTCCATCAACCAACTAAGCTGCTAGCCGGCACGCCCCGTCCCGATCACACCTGCAGCTGAACACAATGGTGTTTCTTGTTGTTCACCCGGTGTTTCGTCTGTCCTCCGTACACTCACTTTCATTGAGACTAGTAGCGTTGTCCCGTGGCGAGGATGGCAGCCCCACAGATCTATCGCATGGATGTATCACAACACGGCTGCAGTTGCCAGGAAGAAAGAGAAGAAAAAGAAGAAGAGGAAAGAGGAAAAAAAAACATGGACACCTCGAAAATGATATACGACAAACCAACTCATTCCATTGCACCGCCAGCGCTCATTCAAGTTCATATTTCATCTCTTGCCTGGAGAAATCGCTTACCACTAAACTCTCTGCTCCAGGTACCTCAATTTTCATGCACCAATGCCATAACGACAAATGCATCATGGTCGAATCGCACCACCACCCATTTGTTTTCTTTTTCGCTCGCCAGAAAGTGGGTGATATGTCATATCTCTAGTTTGCAGCACCAGCGCTAATATTGCGCCCCTCCGTATCCCTTCCTGGAGCCCAGATGGTCGATCCTTCCATTAAAGCCTTTCCCGGAACTCTGGATATCATCCCGGCCGCCTTGTACAGGACGCCACTGAATCTTGACAAATCCATTCTAGACCTGTTCCACGCGGCTAAGATACCTCTAGGATGCACTCATCCACTGCTGTCTCTAGTCAGTTCTGCGGTTGTAGCTACTGGCCAGCCATGATTGGGACATCTGGGAGGAGGGTATCCACGCATGTCAGGTTGAGAACCAACCTCTATCGTCATGAACATGCCATCTCGGCCTCTAGGTAGGACCCAAACGATTGATCCCAGCATTACATGACTGTATCAGATGTTGGATGAAGAACTCTTCATAGGAGCATGCACGACTTTCCGGGTTCTCTCGGGTTTTTGGCCCCTCTTCGCTGCTTCTATGCCCGAGCTGAAAAAAAGGGCCTTAGAGACGAAGGCATGACAGCTGGCGAGACTTGCCCTCCACCCTAACTCAGATCGGGATCACAGTTGAACCAGTGAAGTTGGCATCTAACTCATCGACATCATCGCTGCCAGCCCCTAGTCTGACTGACTAGTGGTAGTACCTATGATCGAGACCATTCGGTATGAACGTCGACCATTATCCGATGTAGTCCTCCTTCTGCAACCCCCCCCCCCCCCCCTGCCCCGCTGATCCCTAGACGTTGCATACGTGACTCTTCTTCGAAAAGTCCATGCATCTGGACTCAATTATCCTCGGGGTTCGACTTTTTCCTAATGTCTTCCTTCTTTAGTTAATTAATTGACTTGCGATCATTCCCGGTTGCTGGGTATTTCCTCCGCTTCGACCCTTGTCTGTCACACCTTGTCCCTCGTTTATCATTTATCAAGTTCATATTGTTATTATTGTTATTATTATTATCATCGTCATTGCCAACTAGTCACGCCCACGATTTCATCCACCCCATTCCTTTTCATATCCAACATTCACCATCTTCTTCTTTCTTGGTTGTTTCCTGTGTCTTGGAAGTACCCGTCGTCTTTCTCTGATCATCGGCCAAATCTACACAGCCTAGAACGACACCATAGTGGCTTTCAGTATCATGAGAGAAGTCTTGAGCGGGTTATGATATATTGAGTCGCGACCAATAACTACCCCTTTCTGTTCCCAGCAATTGTTCAGGTGGCCTTGCTACCTCCTTCGGGCTAAAGCCTTGATCGTGTGGAAATAATCACACACGCACACACGCGCACCTTCAGTCTCGATCTTCTGTCCGTGCAGGCCTCATTTCGATCTCATGTTGCTGAGCATCTTCAGGACTTCTCTGGCCCATATTTTGGGAGGCTTCACCCTTTTGTCAACATTCATCACCACTGTCTTGGATGGTATCTGTTACAGTGTCTCCAAATCTCTATCATCGCACATTGCCTCGGTCGAATCGGCTATTGTGAGCTTGAGTGCAATCGACTGTGCAGTGATCATCGTATTGTTATTTCTTTGGGTCAAAGATGTCAGAGCAGAGGTGAGGGCGCAGTGGAGGGGTCACCGGGCTATTCTCTACGTTCTGATTGCCGTCTACCTCTCCATTGCCACCGGTATCACGGCAGGAGGAATCGCCTGGAGTGCAGTTCAGTCCATGACAGGGAAGACGACTCTGACCCACAAGCACCAGACCCTCATGCTAGCCCGCTGTATCATCTGGGCCATCTCCATTTTGAGCCAAGGAATCCTGGGTGGCTATCTCCTAACCTCACTGACAAAACGTGATGGTGGTGGTCGATGGTCAAGTTCTCTTTCTCAGGAGCTTGAGATTCTTCCTGACCAAGCCAGTGTTGGTGACAAGGACGACGTGGTGAAATCTCCGTCCATCATCCCTGAGTCTCCACGGCCTTCCACTGATGTGAAAAGAAGCTGCGACATTGTGCCGGAGCTTCAGCCTTCTGCTTCCCGTACAGAGTCTCAGAATTCTAATCGTTATTCCGGTCGGACGCTGTACCAACAGGACTCCAAGCAGAGCTCTTTCGACTTGCCGCGAACTCATATGGCGGGTACTGAAACTACAGTGACTCGTTCCCAAACAGACGACCCGGCTGATAACCCGACTGATAACCCGACTGTCAACCATTCTAGCATGGAAGAACGGAGCGAGCCCCTTAAGATTCGACGAAGCTACTCCGGGGCCAAACGATCTTTCGAAGGGTTGATCCGTCAGTCTTCGTCAACTCGATCGTCTCCTGCCACATCTTCCACGCATCTAGCGGCTCCTGGTCGACCTATTCCTCCGAAGCTGAAGCTCGCCGACGAAAGCTTTATCCATCCATTGTTCCGGTCGGATAGTGCATCGCCTCCCCCAACTCCGATGCCAGGTACCACTGTAATCGCCTCACCGGCCGCTGGGCAGACCATCTCCGTGCAGACCCTGAATCGAGTGAGATCGACCCGGTCTCTCCGGTCCCACGTACCCCGAAGCCGATCACCCTTATTTGAGCAAGTGGAGCAGCCGCTTGCCGGGCTGGAGCGGAAGTCTGAGTCTTTGGAACGCAGTGGTCGGGATTCTCCCATGCCCAGCTTCATCATGGCAGCGGATGTGCGAAGCAGCATCACCCGGTACGAGAAGAAATATGACTTGAATGAATCCCCTGACGAGAGCTAGTCAGACGAGCTCCTGAAGGCCACAAGGAATTGGGATCTGGGTCTGGATGCCTCTCACTTGTTGTTATCCTTGTTCTCCTTTGTTAGATATCCTAAATATAGCGTTTGGTGTACTTAGCAGTCCATATATATATATACACACAGTGCATGAGATGCAGCATGAGGTCTTTGAATCAGAGTCCGACGATCAATGAAGCAAAGGCTCGGAGCAGGCAAAGAAGAAGGTAAAGTAGCGACCGGTAGAAGGATAGCGACATCAGATTCCAGGGCACGGTTCCAGGAGCCGCATGATAAGAATGAGTGATTCGAGTGGTAGTAGCAGTGTTCATATACATATAGAGACTCGGGAGGTGAAGACAGATATCAATTAGACTTCTTTGGGGACTACAAGGGGACAACTGAAGGGATTGGGGGAGAGAGAAGCACGCCTTAATCTGGCCCAATGGCTTGTCAATGATTTGTTTGGAGTGGCCAGAGAACTATTTCCCGGGAATTGTTTGCGGGAGTAAAGTTTTCGCTCGACATAATTTATTATACTGCATTCTAGTCTTGCAAATTGAGGGTTGAGGGGTAAACAGAGATATTGTAGATATAAACCAGTCCGTCCGGGTGGGGAAAGAGGAGGAAATGGCTCCCGAGTCCCCGAGTCTAGGTAGTCTTTTTTTTCCCCCGAGTGCCAATTCCAGTAAGTTACCGAGTACCTTACTTACTCAGTTGACTTGACTTGACTACTAACTAGCAGCTGCAACATTCAACTTCAGCTTGTCGGTCAGTCAGACACCAACTTATCTATCTGTCTATTAGGTAGTAACTAACTGATCTGACCGCGTCTTACCTCAGTTACAGGACCAGTGCTTCATTGTATCCTGGTGCAATTAATTGGCCTGCATCTTTTCCTTTTCCCTCATTCCTCTTTTCATAATCATAATCATTATCATCATCACCATCATCGTCGTCGTCTTTTTCTCCTTCTCCTCCTCCTCCTCCTCTTCTCTGCTTTGCTAGAGTATTTCTTTTTCTTTCTTTTTCTGCCAATTTTTCTCCTTGCCCCCCCCTCCCTTCATTTCCCTTCTACTTACCGTGTTGGAAGTGGCCTATCTTCTCCTTCTCCCTCTTGCTCCTCTTCTTTTCTCGAACTCTAAGTCTCTGCTAAGTGATATTTTCGCTTGCTTGGCTTCTGAATGAAGTGTCTCTAGCATTGAGGGAAGCCCAAGGAGAATTTCATAGTACATACTAGCCAACCTTTCCTCTCGGGTGATGCGATTGACTCCAGCCTGCCCTCGCCGACTTTCTACTTGCAGGGAAACAAGTAAGATCTCCTACGATCGGAATCTGTTGATCTCCACTGCACGTTCTATTGAGGGTTTATGGCTACTAGGTACGACCAGGTATCTGACTAGGGAGGAGTAACTTACCTAGTTGACCGAAGAGGTTCTATATCCGGCGAGTTTGTTCTACCTCGAGCACAGTACAGGCCTTGCAGCGGGCCAACCAAGCGCCGCAGTTGGACGCCCATCGATCCACTTGGCCGAACCTCTTTTTACTTCCCTGATCCTCAACTCACATCAATTGATTCAATCATCATCATCTCCATCTCCATCTCCATCTCCATCTCCATCTCCATTCCCATCTCCTTCCCCATCGTCGTCCTCTTCCCCGTTCCCTCTCCCCCAATCTCCGTCGCTGTCGCAGATTCCGTTGACTTTTCTTTTTCTTTTCCACTCCGGGGTAAGTTTTTTTTTTTTTTTTTTTTTTTTTTCTCTAAACAAAACCTTTCCTTTAACCTTGACTTCTATTCTTCGCATTGAACCTCTTATTCTGCATTTATTGCCAAGTTGCCTTACACTCCTTCCATTTTCATTCTCGTAACCACTACCTACTCTTGTCCCTGTCCACTTTTGTCGCCTTCGCCCACGTATCTGCCACCGCCACGATCAATTCCCCTCAATCGCAGTGCATTGTTCTTCCTCTTCAATCAATGGCTGGTGTTGTAAAGCCCTTTAGCCTCTCCCTTCGGACATAGACTTTCTGGCATTGCTCTATGGATCGTCCGCGTCTCCCTTTCCCGATCGCTTCGTTCAATCCATACTACTGATTGTACCATACTCCATGCATTTATCCACTTTCATCCATGCCCGATCTGCTTGCTAAGGACCCCGTGCTGTGTTGTTGCCGGCTGGGATAACTGTTCGTCTTCTGTATATGTTATGTTCATGGCTCTAACTTCCTCCAAACTTTGCACAACTGACACATTCTCCCCCCCCCTCCCCTCCCTCTCCGGCCAATGCACTATTGCTTTGCTGGATTTACACCTGTTCTTGGCTTCTTTTCTACTATCTTTTTCCTGTGCCATTTTTGTCCTCTTCTTCTTCCGCCTCCGTCATCACCATCGCACCCACCTTGCAGTGTTCTCTGCACATTTCTTTCTCATATCATCACCATTCTCTCCTCGTCATGGTGGATGTGCCATGAGAAGTTCACCATCGTAATTCCACCACCACTGCTCTTCATCCTCCTTCTCAAGCCACTAGAGTATTCTCGTTACTCTGGTATCCCTATACTCCATCCTTACTTGTTTCCTCTACTCCTGGACGAGTCATATATCTCATCATTGTGATCTCGTTTCCCTTTGGACTCTTTTCGTCGACCTACTGACATAATTCTTGAAGGACAGCGATGGCGGGAGTGAAACGGAAAATTGACGCCTCCCAAGGGTCTGCTGCAGCGGTATCAGGTGGTAATTCTACAACACTTGGTGCCGCACACAGCACAACTAGTAAGTCTACGATTACATGCTACCCAACAGCGCTTCTAACCCGACCCACAGATTCTACTGCTGATGATGCATCTCACGTCCGCGTGACTCGAAGCTTACGGTCAAGTCGAGATGTGCGTGCCACTCAAAATGATGCTCGTAATCACAGCAACGCTTCTGCCATGAGCGGAAGCAGCGGCAGCAACCACAGCAACCACAGCAACAGCAACAACACCACTTATAAGCCTAATCCTAATCGCCCATCGCGTATCATCACTCTTAGCACTCGTGTCGCTCGGGCAAACACCGCAGCCCGTGAACGCGAACAAGCCGCACGGGACCAAGCTCTTCGCGAGAACGTAACTCGTGAAACGCGCAACACTCGGACTCGTGCCGGTGCTTCGTGGCCTTCGCAGCCAGTAGAAGGCGTAGTGGCACCTGTGCCTGAAACCCCACGGCATAAACGCGTGAAACGGGGCCCCACGGTGGAAGAGACACCGAGAACCACGCGGCAATCGGCGCGGCTCAAAGCACATGTTCCACCCACCTCGACAGAGGATGGGATTGCTGATATAGGTCTGATGCCGAAGCCTTTGGAATCAAGCCCTTCAGCAACCGCTGCTCCAAGTAGCCGTACTCGAAACAAGAGCCGGCAATGGGCAGACAGTTCCAATGATACCATTCACAGTGGCGCCGCCAATTTTATCACTCCTACAATCCCCGAGGCTGAATCGCCCTCACCCGATCGGACGACCCTCAACCTTGTGGAAGATACGAAGCCTCTCTACGAAGAGCCTCACCTGAGCCCGAAGCTGGCTATTGAGGAATCACCCAAGGGTACAGTGGTCGAGGATGAGAAGAACGGGGTTAGTGAACCAGCACTGTCTGAAGCCGATGATTCTGTCCATGCTCCAAGCACTCCTAGTCCCCCATCTTCCTGGAAGCGAAGATCACCCGGACATTCACAGCATAACGGAGCTGATTCCGAGAACTTCCTCGAGTCACCCAGCAAAAAGCCTAAGCTGGAAGAGGGCGAATCTGATCGTGTTTTGGAGCAGCAGTCACAGCCCGTTACCAATGGCCTCAACGGCAGACCTGAATCGGAGTCTCTTGTAAAGGCTGCAACTGATTCGAAAGCCGATGGCCAGTCCCGGCACACTACAGAGGAAATAGAGGGCTCAACACCAGAGGTTGTTACGGAGCCTACAGCTACTCGAGGTTTCCGCGGTGGTCGGGTTCGGGGTCGAGGGCGAGGGGGCCGCAGCAGGGGAGCCGCGCGCTTTGCAGCCAACAAACGAGGACGAGGTGGTACTCGTAGCGGCCGCGGGCGTGCTGGCCGACAGCTTGACAGATCAAGTGACGTCGAGCCTGACCGCTCTCCTTCTCCTAGTGCAGCAACTCAGAGACTCCGTGATCGACAGCGTGAGCTGGATAAGGCATTCAAGAAAGTGGCTGCCGCTCAGCGTTTGGCTCTGGCAGTGCTGGCGACGCAATCTGAGAGACGAATCGCCCGAGACAAGAATGCACACAAGGATGTGCCCGAATTTGAGGAAGTTAACCAACAACTACAGGAGCGGCTGCGGCAGAAGAAGGATGTACTCCGCAGAGAATTCGAACTTAAAGTGGAGCAAGAGAATCGGTTGTTCCAAGCCTATAGAGAAGTAGTCGAGGAGCGTTTTCAGGTGGGTTTCATATGCCAAAGCATCCAGTCAGCATTCAAGGGAAGTCTACTAAGTACAGTAGGCATCCGCTCGCAATATCCGGGAGGAGCATTTGATCGCCAGTCAGGGAGCATACATGACATTTGTAAGAGGCCGTCGTGCTGCGGAAGATGATGAGCACACCGAGGTAAGTGGCCTTTATGGTTCCGATACACTCCGTCAAAATGTCCATATCTTAATATGTAGCATATGCTGATCAACATCTACAGACGGACGATTCGGAAACCGAGCCCGAGCGGGGGCCAGTTGTGCCACCTGCGCGGGAAATTTTCCGAGGGTTCAATTCTTCTTACGTTCGGGTTCCCTCCGGAGCTGCTGCCTACGAACGGGCCTGGCTTGGCTGGGATGATTTCGTTCAGCGAGCTAAAGTAGGCGAAGACATCGACCCGCAAATGAAGGAAATGTGTGAATCAGGGCCCTTCTCAGGCTTTACTTCGGATGAGATTATCGACATGCTCGTGAAGGCAACTGGGGTAGTGGATGTACGAACAAACGCAACAACGGCAGGGGAGACGCAGCCCCCGGTCATACATGATATACGCCCTCGAGCATTATCGGCCTTGGCGGATATCGCAGCCGCCGAAACTCCTCGGCCCCCTATCGCCGCTGCTCCCCGATTTCCGCCTGCTCCCCCCCATCGAACCATTCTCCCCCAACCTGCTCTGACGCATGGTCCTCCTGAGCCTCGGGCCTTTGTCCTTCCCCCGCCCACTCCTCAGCGACAACAGCCCCGACGACTGCTCCCTGCCGGTCAGCAAATTCCGCCCATCAATGAGCAACTCGGCCTACCCGATCCATTTGCCTCGATGGGAGGACCGCCCCATCTTCCTCCACCGCCAGGATCGAATTTTCACCGGCCTCCGCTTCCTGGTTACTTGACTGGACATCATGCTCCAAGTCTCTATTATCCCCCTCCGCCACCACCCCCACCACCTGGACCCCGTCCACCTTATTAAGAGGCGCAGAATCTGTTTCTAGGCGTTGTTCCTCAGTCATACATCTGGTTTACTGATTATCTTTCCTTCCTTTGCGGATGTGTGACGGAGGCTTCTGACCTATCGACTTATTTCCTTTCTTCTTACTTCTTCTTCGTTGAAGTAGATCATATTACCTTGGATTGTCTTGGATTGTGCTGGGACTTGGGACTTGGGACTTGGGACTTGGGACTTGGGACTTGCAGAGCGATTTGAAGTTTGTCTTATTTAGCAGTCACGGAGGATTCCCCTTAGCCGTGTAGTTCCGCGTTTGTTCTAATTTACTGCTTCATGTTTGATCTTTCAATTCCAAATTCATGGATGAAATGCTCACATTCTTAATCAGGATGAATCATGATGGGTCATAATGACTCGACGGCGAATGACTCTGTTTGGCCGTGTTTGGCCGCCTTCAGAACTCCGCCTCCCCTCTCCTCCCGATTGGGTCTAGCCCGGCGGGGCGGGGCATTTCGGCCTCGAAGCTTTTTATTTCCTCGTGCTTTTCCTTCCCAGTCGCCATCACTTTTCAAGGTGCAGTCTCTCAAGTCGAGCTCAAATACCCTTTTCGCTGCTATTTCTCGAAGCCTGCATCCTCTTCTTCGAGTGTCTTGCCGCCGCCTCACTCACAACTTGACAATCCCACTCGACCGTCAGCCCCGCCTCGCGCGCCCATTGTCCCTCCTCGACCTTCTGTCAGACTCAGCGAAGCGTGTCGACTGATTCACTTTCGGACGCAAATAAAAGCCATCCAGGTTTCATCATAATCACCATTACGATCAGCGAATTCGTGTGCGACTAGACGAAGTAATAATGGCTGTCCGTGCTCAATTCGAGAATTCCAACGAGTAAGATGGACCCGGGCTACGCATTTGCAACTGCGCACTGCGCTTCGATCATTGTTTGCCAGTTACGAGCTTGGAAGATTGCTGACTGTCATCAAAGCGTTGGAGTCTTCTCTCGACTGACCAACTCATACGCCATTGTTGCCATTGGCGCTTCCGAGAACTTTTACAGGTGCGTTCCTCTTCTCTAAAGTTTTGGCCTGGCCGCTTGGCATGGACTTTGTCCACTGACTCTTTCGCTAGTGTCTTCGAGGCTGAATTGCAGGATGTTATTCCTATCTGCCACGCTACCATTGCTGGTACTCGCATTGTCGGTCGTTTGACGGCAGGGTATGTCAATCCCGTTGAAGGGGAAGTGGCAAACATGGAATCAGATCCTGATCAGCAGAGTACTACAGAAACCGCAAGGGTCTCCTTGTCCCCACTACTACCACAGACCAAGAGCTTCAGCACCTCCGGAATACACTGCCAGATTCGGTAAAAATCCAACGGATAGAGGAGCGGCTATCAGCCCTGGGCAACGTTATCTGCTGTAACGACCATGTTGCATTAATCCACCCCGACTTGGAACGTGAGACGGAAGAGATGTACGCCCCCCTTCCCATGAGATTTTGTCCGTCTGACGTCTGGCATCTGCTAACCTTCGCTTCCTCTCTTTTTCCAGTATTGCCGACGTTCTCGGCGTCGAAGTCTTCCGACAAACCGTGGCCGACAACGTCCTGACTGGTTCCTACATGGCCCTCTCCAACCAGGGCGGTATCGTTCACCCCAAGACCTCCATCCGCGACCAGGATGAGCTCTCCTCCCTGCTGCAGGTGCCCCTCGTCGCCGGTAGTGTCAACCGCGGTAGCCCCGTGGTCGGCGCCGGCATGGTCGTCAACGACTGGCTGGCCGTGACGGGTCTGGATACGACGGCGACGGAGCTGAGCGTCATCGAGAGTGTCTTCCGGCTGGGTGAGATGGGTCCCCGTGGTGTCGGACAGGGCAATGCCAACAAGGAGAGCATTGTGGAGAGTTTTTACTAGATTTTTTTCTCTCCTTCATCCTCCACCGCGATCGTCATGTTGTTTATGAAACCCATTCCCATACACATTTTCCAAAATATCCTTATTGTGCCATGAATGATCCTATGAAACACCCTTTCAAGTCCCGAGGATTCTTTTCAGGTTTCCACAAGACTTATCCATTTGTAGAGCTTTGAGGAGATAGCCACGAGAGAGAGAGGCGGAATGCGCCGAACTGAGAACTGTCTTATTCATCCAAATAATGCATGCACTCACACTCATGAGAACAGACTATATCTGGTTATTGCGTAGCGTAGCCCCGGGTATAATTGGCATACGCGATTTGCAAGCGAAAGACAGGAGAGAGAGAGAGAGAGAGATCTAGATACTGGGTAGCTAGTATGCGCATAGATCCAGGTCGAGAACAGCAGTGCTCTCCACGCCGTGCGTCACACGGTGGGTGGGGAGGAAGAAACCTCCGGGAGTCCAATGCATGAGATAAACTACCGTCAAAGTAAGTTATAGAAAAACCAAGTTCCATCCTAAGCTATGGATTTCCTGGAAGCTTCAGCTTGTTTGCACCTTTTGCCTTGCCCCCCCGCCCCCCCCCTTCCTCCAGACTCAGTCTGATTTCATATATTGGGTGATATAGCTCATGCCTCTCGGGGGAGTCGGGGAGGGGGGGTTCTTTTATCGTTCTGCGGTATGGCAAATTGAATCGAATGTGGCTTCAGGCGAATAGATTGTTGTGAAGAGGGTATTCATGTAAGAAAGTGAACATGATTGAAATAAACGACGGTCAAGGTCATGAAAGAAAAATCAAGTGTTGTTGAAAGGTACAAAAAGGAAAGGGAATATCCTCCGGGGGGGGGGAAAGGAGGTTTAAGACCGGCCAAAAAAAAATGTGACTATGAAGAAGGTTAAGAATGAGCAAAAAGAGAGAAAGAAAAAAAGATGAAATGATGATCGTGGATATAGAGAGAGAAAGAGAGAATAGCGCCCAAGGTCTGCCAACTCCGAAAAACACCGATCCGGATGCTGTTGCTATGAAAACGACATGAAAAAAAAATCCATGGCTGATTGGCAGTTCCAACGGAATAGCTATTGAGCCAACAATTATGGGCCCCGTCCCCGTCCCCGTCACCCTTGACATATTGCTATACACGTCCTTCAATGCCAATCTGTGATGTTTGGAACTGATTCTCTTCCCCCTCGTTGTGATGGTCTTGTTCGAGGAGCGGTGGTGGTGATGGAGGGGGAGGAGGCGCAGGGGGCGGAGTGGGCTCGGCGCTCTCTCCCTTCATGTTAGCATCGTCGCCACTCAGGGTCTGTTGCTTATATCCGTTTTGGTCATCTTCCAGATCGTTTCCAGGGCTCATAGGTGGAGGCGGAGGCGGAGGCGGGGTGGAAGAACGTTGTCGTTTGGAAGAAGACGGCGTGGTGAAATCAGTCGCGCTGCCGTCGCCGGTAGCCATGTCTTCTTCCCTCTTCCGCTTGAGAATCCCTTGCGTCTCCCCCACTAAAAGTATGTCCATGTCTTCCTCCTGCGCTGGCCCGTCATGGTCGTCTTCATCATCCGACATTCTCATGTCAGGATCATCCTCCACCGGGCCAGCAGCAGTCGCGGCGGCTGGTTTCAAATGTGCTTCCTTTGATTGCCGTTCTGCCTTGCGCTCCTCGTGGGCCCTGTGCTTTACGACAGCCTTATCGAAGAATTCCTTGCAGAAGTTCTTGACTTTCTTTTGCTGCTTTTCATCGATCTTGGTGGGATCTTCGACACGATTGTTCTTGAAGTCCGAGTTGACGAGTTTCTTGGCAACCTGTTATCAGATACTTGGTAAGCATATCAACACAGCATTTACAAACTCGAGACCGGCCTTACATCCTTAGCATAACGCTTCAGATCATCTTTGGGAAGCTTGTGCTTGAACTTGTCTACCACGTACTTGACGTGGGGAAACAGCTGTGATTAAATCAGCCCTGCGTCTTCCCAATCAATTGCAGCAAGGAGCCGATAGTGTAGGAGCAAGAACGAACCGTGTTTTCATAAATCTTTTTCCGTTTTTCCTCACTCAAACTCCGCCACTTCTCCTGGCCCTCTTTCTGGTCTGGAGTTGCCTTGGAGGTCTGAGGGGTGGCCGGTGTGCCTGATTTTTCCTTAGGTGTATTCTCCTTAGCGTTCATGATACCGTCAATGATATCCTGCAACGCCTTGTCCCGCGATTCCTTCGCTGGCGGGCCTGGTTGAGGCGCGGGCACGGTCGGGCGTGTCCAAGTCACCTCGCCCCGAGACGAGTAGAAGTATGTCCTTCCGTTAGAATCAGCGGCGAACCATCCCGGAGGAAGAGGGTTAAATTGACGACGGAAGGGCCGAGGTCCGTTGTGGAGGGGACCTCTCGGGATATGGCCTGCTCGTTGAGCAGCTGGACCGCGAGGTGCGTCGATGGATCTGGACCTTGATCGGGACCGAGATTTGGACCGCCGTCGCTCGTCACGAGTAGTCTCACGGCGCTCGAACTGACTGATCGCCTGCGGCGTGGCATTGGGGTCCCTTTTCATTCGAGGAATGCGGTAGCCTACTTCAAGCGTGGACCAGACCTGTAGCAATATGGCTGCCTTCTTCTCGACACGCTCATCCCCGCAACCGGTCAAGGGCTGAATGGTCGACTCAATCTTGGAGTCGAGGATCTTGTTCCTCGTCAGACGTGGGAACCTGTCTAGGATATCCAGAACCTGCAGGACCACGTTGAAATCTTCTTTCCACATGCTGAGTTGTGAATTCAGAATCTGATAGCCATGCATCTTGACCACGCGGTTTGAAACCCGCTCATCTTCACAGCGCTGAATGCGACCCAGTAATTTGACAGCGATCCACTTCTCCTTGCACTGCATCAAAGCAGCCATGACTTTAGTGACCCCATTCTCATCTAGGGACTTGGGCTGAACACTGTCCACATACTCTTCATCATCCTCGCCCATCTTCTTCTTGCGCGGCCGCTTCGCTACAGCTGTGTCCCACCCATCTGAATCTTCGATACCCAAGGCCTCAATGGTGGCATGAGATAATTTGGTCGCCCGCTCTGTCTGAGTTCGCCCACCAATGAAGCCAGTGCAGTTGGGTTCTCCACAGTAGCATGGTTGGGGATCGGCTCCATAACGGTCAACGTTATAGTTGAACACAAGTTCCTCTCCAGCTCGGATGTGTCGTTCAGCAAAAATGCCCATTCGCAGCTTCTCCCCGACCACCCATTTGTCGACATAACAATTTGGGTTGCACGAGTGATTGCAAAAACGACCTAGGTTGCCTTTCTTTGTCGCGTCAACGAATTCACCTTTACTGAGAGACATGAAGTAAAAGTGCTTGATGCCCTCCTCATCATATTGTCGCATACGGCGGCGAAATTGCCCTTCGTTGATAACTTCGCCCACGTACTCGAAGATAAACTGATGCGGTCGCAAATCGGCCTCGGCGCGAAGACCAAACCCTTTCTTTTCTGTCTTGATCACTGCCACCGGGGCATATTCTCGTTGTTGGAAGCGCTGGTTCTGGCATGCTGGCCCGCAACCGCAGTCGCCCATACATTCGATTTTTGTGGCGCGGTTGATGCAGTCCGAATCCTCCCCACAAGCCAGATTCTTAGCAATCGCGGGTTCTGCCTCAAATTAGTGCGTCTTCACTTTGCGAGGGCGAAAGAAATGTAAAGAAACTGCCCTCTCCATATTTGTGCATGGCTTCAACATAGAAGATGAGGGGGGCAAACAACAGGCAATGGTTTGGTGTGGTGTGCTTGAGATTTTCCCAACATGTTTGAGGCGGGGATCCGAAATGCAACGCCACGCGTGGGAAACCGCCCACGGGAGCAAAAGCTACGAAAGGTGACAGAGAAGGAAAACGATGGAACGAGTATGATCGTAGGAACGAAGAAAGTGAGTACTTACCCCATTCTTCCGCGCAGTCGCATTCCATCGCATGCTCAGTATAGCCCATGTACTTATTGGCATATGTGCAAGCATCCATAACCTCAAAAGTCTCCTCTGCCTGCGCCGTGCTGTTCGGCAGATGTAAAAATAGCTGTGGTGGTCTTGCCGCAACCTTCTGCGAGGAACTTCGTGTCAACTTGGGAGGCTGGCCCGGTTCGAGTTTGACCGAGATGTCACCTCCAACTTTTTCCTCCATGTTGTCTGGCTGGGCCGTCTCCGTGACTTCAAACTTTGCTTCGTCGCTGACTTGGTTGTGATCGTAATCGTCCTCCGGCTCATTCTTGACCGGCGACCGGGAGGTAGGCCGCGAGGCTGACTGAGATGCCGACAGCGCGTAGGTGTCCTTGGGACCTGCAGGAGAGGAGGCGTCCGAGGCCGCGTCGAAATCGTGCTTGCTCATGGCTCCGGCGCCGTTGAGTATCGGAGTATCGGGAGTTGCGTAAGGGTCTAGCTTCATCGCGGTCACCGCATTCGCGATGGGTTCTGACTGACGGTCCGCGTTGTCATGAGGGGACATGACGACATGGACTGTGCGCGCAAAGTATCAGAGCCAGCTGGGGAATGCGCTGTTATATGATCGGTTACCAGCGCGTGGTGGTTGGTGAAAGAGGGTGTTCTGGATTGCGGAATAGGTACCGTAAAAGAAAAGAGAAAAAGGGAGTCTCGAGGATGAGATACAAGGTGGGCAAAAGAAAGGACAAGAAGAAGAAAAAAAACAACAACCAAATAAGAAGGATAAGAGGCTCAAAGGAGGGTTTGCAGGCAGGCAGAATAATTGGTGCGAGAAGAGCAGGAAGCAGTGAAAGTCGCAAGCCGAAGCAGCAAATCGTCCACGTTTTCCGCGGGTGCCAAGAATCATCGATGAATCGAGGACTCAAGCAATGTAAGGGAGACCTTTAAACAATGGCTCTCTCATTTTTCCTCTGGCACACGATATCTCTCTCCTTCTATCTTGTGCCTTTTTTCATTTTCTATTGATTCTAGCAATCAAAAAAAAAAAAAACAAAAAAAAAAAAAAAATAAAAAAAGGGCACCCGGCTTACAAGGGGACTTCCTCATCTACCTCCCTCCCTACCCAACCTTCCAACTCCCTCCATCTTGAACCATTCGCCATCTTCTGGGTCCATGCAACACACATACTTTGGAGAGACAATCTCCCCCAATTTCTTTCTTTCCTTTTTCTTTCACGGTCGATTTCTTCAGAAGAATAAGACAATTCCTCTGAGCTCGTGCTCCCAATAATAAGATGATCAACGAGCAACACT